CCAATACTGTTCTCAACGTGCCTCTCACATCATTTCTTGGAGCCACCGTCCCATCCTTGCAGTGATGCGATTTATGAATTTGGCGATCCGCCCCTTTTGAAGCTCCTTGTCAGCCATTGTCAGCTGTTATCACCTCCTGCTACTCACCAATAATGTTCTCGTCCAACCCTCTATATCACTTACAGCTGTGAACTCTTTTTGCTGATTTGAAGGAAGTTATGAATTTCGTGACACACACACACACACACACACACACACACACACACACACACACACACACACACACACACACACACACACACACACACACACACACACACACACACACACACACACACACACACACACACCACACACATAAGGCACACACACTGACGTCGGGCGCTCCTCCCTCTGTGTCACGCCCAGGCTTCGCCGGGCTACCTGGCTTCGCCAGGCTTCCTTCCCTTAAGCGAGATAGAATGCGCAAATGTGCCAAATGGGGACAGCTATTTCGAAGATGAATTAGGCTGGATGAGGGATGTAACATACACGACCTTCACCCTGGAAAGGCACAACTGCAGAGTCATGTGTTACACTGGAAAGGAGAACTTCACACTGTTTTGTACATGTCGTAGTATGCGTGCACGGGGAGCCTGAATGTTACCCCGACGGGACACCCTCAATCCAGTTTGTGGGTGCCACCTTGATTTGCTGCTTCAATTGCTACCTCTACCACCTCACACAACGTATAACAGGTAAATTTTCCGGAATCTTTGGTCGATGAGTTCCTTGATTTTCCCGTTTCAGGCGCACAATATAGGTTCCGCTCAACGTTATTGCCTGCATCCAGAAGCAAGCATGGACGACCCTGATTTGTTGACATCGAAGGGAAAGTTCACACACTGAGCCTCTAATACTCGGCATTATAGTGGTAAGAAGTGATAAAAATGTAGCGCAGATGGTATCTTATCTGTTTTTATCGATTGATATGATTACCTGTCACCCGTCATCAATGTCCTTATCACTGAATCTTTGTAATTTGGTAGTGTTAAGGCTGCACCACTTTGAACAGTGACGACGACTGCAAGTGATAACTACTGATGGGACTCCTCATCAGCCCCATCAGTAGTTATCACTTCTTGTCGTCCACCGTTATGTTCCCATCTCATCCTCTATATCACTTGCTGAAACGAACGCCTCGCTGATGCTGTGATCTGCAGTGTGAATACGATGGCCTGACCTCTCGAACGCCCCTCAAATCTCATGAGCAGCTTAAAGTTCTTGTGACTCACCAATAATGTTCTTGACCCATACCGTATACCACATCTTGGAATCAAGAACTAGCTGGTGTTGTCACCTGTTGTTGGTGTTATAAATATGGTGACCCTTCTAACGCCTCTTATCGGATCTTATCAACTGATATCACTTCCTGTCACCCACCAATAGTGTTCCCGTCACACCGCCTACATCACTTCTTGAAATCAATGTCTCACTGCTACTGGGACCGGCGCTATGAATTTCGTGACACACAGACAGACGCACACACAAACATACACACACACATACACACATACTTCAGACAGGTAGCTACACGCTACCTTTGTACATATGTATATGGTTGGTTAGAGTACTTCATTATTTATTTAACATGTTCTTAGTCAGTTAATCAATTTCCTCATGTTGATCATTCCAGAAGATGTTTTCAACTTCAGCTAGCGAACAAGGACTGTTTTTCATGGGCCAGCTGCACCGAAGGCGACGGTCCTCACTGTACAGGGGGGCCAAAAAAAAGTCATTTTGCCTCCATGACTTTCAAGGCGCTATAAGTTACACTTTATTAAATTTTTATCGGACATTTTTACTACCATATTAAAGAGCACATTAAATACTATAATACTCCGCCACAGCCTTCTGGAGGAGCGCCATCGAGAGATTCTGGCACGCGACCGCGATGTGGTACCTGAGATCAGCGGGGTAGTCGATTTCTCCGCCACCGTAGACCACCCTCTTGAAGTCCGCCCGAACTAGGTAATTGAGTGGGTTCAGGTCAGGGGACATACTTCAATATTACATCTTCTTCAGGTACGAAACGCCCTTCCATTCGAAGTAGGCGGGAGTTTTTCCAAAACCCTTTGATTCCATGTGGTGGCACCCAAACCTGTAGCAGCACAAGGTCTCCAAGAAGGCACGGGCGCACATATAGGGAAAGGAATATTACTCTCGGAAGTTACTTGATGTAACCGCCAGCGCTCACCTTCAGTCGGGGTCTACAAAGAAAATATCGGTCTTCCCTTTCCAGGTACCCCGGTCCATACCATCAACTCGCGCCTCGGCGAATACGGTGAAGATGATGTCCTAGACCGTAGCGACGTTGACGACAGGGCTGCTCCGATGTGCGGAAGGTCTGGCAGATCAGAGATACTGACCTCCAGTAGCTATCTGTGGTGACTCATTCGAGCAAGATTCCGCCAGCTGTTTGGAGGCACGTTGGAATTTCCCAAAGGTCTTCTCATCAGGCCGCGACTGGAGATGACTTCATATTTTGGTGTACATGAAGGTGATGGCGGCAGCCGGCTCCTGCTTATAGAGGAAGATCTTGGGTATCTTCCGCCCTGGTACTCATATCCACTTCCTCTGTCTGGGCTGCGAAAACTTCGCTGATATGTGACTCGGCCGGAAATGACTTTTTTTTTGGCCCCCCTGTATATAAGCAGCGCTGGCTGACTTATGGCGCCCTTCCTCAGTAACTCCATCTTCCTCACCAATCGGCTTCAATCGACTGTTCAATACCCGACTCTATTCGTCAGTCAATAAGTGCGTATTTACTGATTCGTCAGATTCGGCTTCAACATCCAATAAATACTGTACTTTCAGAAGGCCTTCATCGCTTCGTCTGCAATACTCGTCTCGGCTCGCAATAATCTACCACTACGGAAGAAGACGATACCCAGTTAGTAGATTGACTAGTTATTCAAATAAATATATATAGAATTATCTGTAATTTACTCAATTCAGCAATATCGCTGCACAATATCTCAATACTTCAATATTAGCAATACCGCGTGGCCAGTTTTGTACTGAAGGGCGAGCAGCACTCCCACAATTTGGTGCATCGGTTACCTGCGAACTCAGGTACGTCAACTACGTTCTTTACCGGAAAATCAGGCGGTTGCTTTTGGATTCTTTTGCTACCAGTTTGGCTGTCGCGCACTACTGCGCGCATGGTTAACATGGTACTGGTCACTGTCGGGATTACTGTGTTGCCCACTAACACTTGGCTTAATTCCCATGTTTCGAAATACGGCCGATTGTATTGCATTTCTCTTTTTTAATGAACATTTGCCAGTGTCGGCTGCTTATCAAAATCTGAGAACACCCACCATTTGTTGGAAATAGGACAGCCTAGCGGTTGAAAGAGATTCGATGGTAACAATATCAGAATCCAAGTGAAATCTAGTATGTACTTCCACTGAGCAGCTTTCATATATCTGCATATGTATATAATTCCTCAATGGCAAACAATTTGAGCTATTACTTTTGTCGAAATCGTGGATTTAGCGGTCGTTCCAACTGTTAGGTTGGCGGGAAAGTTCTGTCACTTTTTTTCAAATTGGGCTTTCTTTTTATAGAGAGGCGTGTAAGATCAAAATTAATGTTACTGCGGGGTCCTTGCCTGTTTTTGAGCACCTCATGGATGCCATCGCTTCACAATGCAGGGAGGCGCGATACAAAGTTGGACATCATCTCAATCTTGGCTTGAACTCAGACTTTTCGAGGTTTTCTCGTAATTTCTCGTCCAGTAATGATTGATTACGGGAGGCAACTCGCAGTTAGAAGGAGCAATGTCTGTGCTACACCACTGCAAGGGGAGAGCCATCCAGCTCTATTGCATGAGGAACGGCTAGAACTTTTTTGGAAGTGCGCTGCACTATCAGAAGCATTTGGAGGGGTCGGTGGCGATGGTAGCGGATAACATTCTTGTCCATATTGCAGAAGAAGAAGAAGCAGGAATCAAGCGAGTGGTACTAATAGAAAGACCACTCTTTGATGTATAAGTGCTCACATTACCGTTCACCCCTCTTCAGGTAATGGGCAAATATTTTGAGTTCAAAAAAGTGACAGAACTTTCCCGCCAGCCTGATACATCGCTGAAGAATAGAAACATCTTAACTCACCACGGCTTTGCCCATTGATTCTGGGCTACAAAATCTAGTTCACACAACTTGTCTCGTAAAACCAATTCCCGAGTTACGTGCTAGAAGCAGATCCCGTGTTACCACAATTCCTGTTATGAATTTTTAAGGCTTCCTCTCCAACTATGGTATCTTATCAGCCGATCAGCTGTTATGACTTCCGGCCACCCACCGATAATGTTCCCATCCTGCCCTCTATTCTACTTCTTGGAACGTTCTACCGTCGCTGTGGCCCGCTCAATGAAGTTGGTGACCCTCCTTTTCTGAAGCCCCTTATGCTTTCTTATCAGCTGTTATCACTTCCTGCCACCCATCAACAATGATCCTATCCTGCCCCCTACATCACTCCTTGGAAGCAACGCTCTACCGCCGCTGTGAACAGCGCTATGAAGTTGGTGGCCCTCTCGTTCTAAGCCCCCTTGTGGTATCTTATCACCTGTTATCATGGCCTGTCACCCACCAATAATGTTCCCATCCTGCACCCTATCTTACCTCTTGAAACCAACGCCCCATCGCTGCTGTGGCCCGCGCTATGGAGTTGGTGACCCTCCCTTCTAAGCCCCTTATGCTTTCTTATCAGCTGTTATCACTTCCTGCCACCCATCAACAATGATCCTATCCTGCCCCCTACATCTCCTTGGAAGCAACGCTCTACCGCCGCTGTGAACAGCGCTATGAAGTTGGTGGCCCTCTCGTTCTAAGCCCCCTTGTGGTATCTTATCACCTGTTATCATGGCCTGTCACCCACCAATAATGTTCCCATCCTGCACCCTATCTTACCTCTTGAAACCAACGCCCCATCGCTGCTGTGGCCCGCGCTATGGAGTTGGTGACCCTCCCCTTCTAAGCCCCGGTATGGTATCTTATCAGCTCTTATCACTTCCTGCCACCCACCAATAATGTTCCTGCCCGACCCCCTACATCACTTATGAATTTGAGCGCTTTATCGCTATTTTGAAGGAAGTTATGAATTTCCGGTCAAACACACATACACACACCAACAGACAAACTTAGCGGATTATATATAGTAGGATCAACCGCATTTATTTCTTCCTTTTTTTACTTTCAACTCTTCCAATACTCGGTTTTTCTTGTCAATATTGGCCCTCAATTTCAATAATTTGGGACAATATTCGATAGGCAATACCTTCACCGCAATACGTACTGTTTCGGGACCCTCCTTGGCGAAGAATGTCGAGTTCAATCGCCACGAAAAAGCGACTTTTAACAGTCACTATCGGCAAACTCGAGCACATCCTCACTGCAACAGGAAAAGCTCGAGGACACTTCCTTGGATCCCGATTTGCCAGATAATGTTCGACTCGAGAACATGCATGGATTGGAAGAGGGCATCTGTGCCGTCGAGTATTCGATGGCAAAAGTCGAGCAAACTCTCAGCGAGTTAGCGGCTCTGTTCGATAACGTCGATCCTTCCGGTAAAGAACCCACTGATTTGGAGGAGTATACAACCAGGAGCGAGACGATTCTCAATTCCGCCTTCGATTACCTATTGATTTTACGGGCTCGGCTTCGGATCCTCAAGTCCTTGGGCCCTCAACCACTGGATGTTCCACCAGAATCTGACATAGCAGCACCAGTAACGCCTGCTAAAATCAAAACTCTGGATCTTCCACCTATCCCTATCCCTACGTTTGCAGGCAATATCTGGGAATGGGACAATTTTTGGGAAATTTTCAATACCAATATTCATTCTCAAGAGGTTGCCGATATGGTTAAGTTCAATTACCTGCTGAATGCTCTGAAGGGCGAGGCCAGAAACTCAATAAGAAAATTCCAGGTCACGGGGGACAATTACCATAGAGCAATGCAGAAAAGGAAGCGCGTGCCGCGCAGGACAAGCAAGTTTGGCAACAATTCAATAGCACGATGCAGCGCCGAGAAGACGGGTACTATGTGCGTCTACCTTGGAGAGACCAATATCCCTATTTGCCGGACAATAAAGCGTTGGCCTACAAACGTCTCGTCAATGTATGGGCATCAATAAGCAAGGATGAAAATCTTCTTGACCAGTGCAATGAAGTTTTCCAAGATCAGGGAATCATCGAACCTGCTATGGACACAGAGAAGTTCCGGCAAGGGTCACAGGTTTACTACATCCCCCATCAACCTGTGATCACCCCCCATAAATCGACGACAAAGTTGCGTGTCGTATTTGATGCCTCAGCGCATTATAAGGATTGTCCATCTTTGAACGACGCACTATACAGAGGACCGGTCATACTTCCGCTCATCAGTGGTATTTTGCTTCGCTTCGGGATCGGAAGAACGGCCATCATCTCTGACATCGAAAAAGCTTTCCTTCAGGTCCGTCTGCAAGAACAAGGTGCATTTGGTTACGTGATCACAAAGCAGCTCCATCTATCAGTAACACAATAACGTTCCGCTTCACAAGAGTGACGTTCGGCATAAAATCTTCCCCCTTCTTGTTAGCGGGAACAATAAACTATCATCTCCATCAATATCAGAATGAAGGTGACTTGGTTCGGGACATCAGAAAGAACATGTATGTGGACAATGTATTGCTGACAACGGATACGTTGGGAGATGCAAAATATGCCTACCGACGGATGAAAGAGATCTTCCAAGACCTGAACATGAATCTTGCGCGAATTCTCATCCAACAATCAATTTTTGATGGATGGAATAGAGGACATCGACAAAACTAAGGAGACCAATCCAAAGGTTCTGGGACTCTCTTGGGATGTGAAGGACGACACGATTCTAGCATCATGCCACGTTCCGGATACTCCACTGCTGACCAAAAGGACTATCACAGGTGCAATAGCGTCCATCTACGATCCGTTGGGCTGGGTCCTTCCCCTTCTTCATCGATGCAAAGTTTTCCTGCAAGAATTGTGGAAGAACCAGTACACCTGGGATCAAGTGCTTCCCACGGATAAGGAACAGGAATGGGCCAATATAGTAGAAGTTGTGCAGGGTTTCACCAAGAAAATCCCGCGCTTCAAAATAAATCGCGCTTCAAAAAACACTGAAGTCTTCCTAGTTGCCTTCGCAGATGCCAGTCAACTACGGCAGCACGTGTTTGCCTATGTCAGCACAATAAATCGTCGCTCATCATGGCCAGATCCAAACTTCCATCTCTTCATGGGCAGCATACAATTCCAAAGCTGGAACTGAATGCTGCAACTTTGTCCATGAGACTTTCCCACCATGTCTTTACAGAGCTGAAGGAAACGCTCAGTATTCAGGGAATTTACTTATCTGACTCTGAGATAGTGTTGAGCTGGCTGAAGCGGAAAGCCAGAACGTGAAGTGGGTCCTTTCGTTTACAGGCGCGTAAATGAAATGCGAGACATTGCTCGTTATCTCCCCGAACAGCAATGTCCAGTCAAGATTGGATATGTCCCATCAGAAGATAATCCTGCTGATAGCGCTACTCGAGGACTATCGAAAGAAGAGCTGCTAGATCATTCCTGGTGGGTCGGCCCTACGTTTCTGCAATACCCACCCCACCAATGGCCGGGTCAAGATAAGCTCTTCGTTTACCCCATTCAAGAACCAGAAGAAGGTCCTCTCACCCAACCCGTGGAACCCAATAAGATTCGTGGTGAAAGTCCAACGAAAGATAACCTTGAACTTCTCAGTCCGGCTCAGACGCGAACATTCACACAAGCTAAGCGCATTATAGCATACGTCCTTCGCTTCATATGCAGTATGGCCAGGCGCAGTAAGATGAGCAGCTTCACGAATCATGCTCTCGTCACAGCAGTGAACCAGTACCGACCAGAACAACCGTGCTGTTTATCTGCCCTGGAGATCCGAACAGCGGGGCTAGCGCTCATCCGTCATCATCAGGGTGTGTATATCACTCAAGAAGTAATCGCTTCTCTGCGGCAGCTCAATATTCTTCAAGACGACCAAGGTATCTTCCGCTGCTACGGACGTCTAGGAAAAGCGCAGCTGGACTACGATACCAAGAATCCCGTCCTCATACTCCAAAAAACCTTTCTAGCAGAAATCATAATACGGGATGCTCACCAGCACGGTCACCTAGATATCAATCATACATGGCTATGGTTCGCCGACAACTTTGGATACCACAATTGCGCTCACAAGTTTGCGCAGTCATACGGAAGTGCTTCCGATGTCAAAAGTTCAATAACCTACCCTACAGTTACCCTGCTCAGGAGGATTTACCCAAAGAACGAGTTGTTCGCTCGTACCCTTTCCAGCATGTTGGCATAGACTACTTCGGACCCCTCTCAAGCTATCAGCCTGCAGGGGACCCGGGGAAATGTTACGGTGCAATAATTACCTGCGCTACAACGCGGCTAATTCACCTAGATGTTGTCTCTGATATGAGCACACTAGCTTTTCTCAATATGCTCCGACGTTTCTTCGCGCGCAGAGGAATACCTCAGTCAATCAATAGTGACAATGCTCCAACATTCGAACTAGGAGAAACCATTTTGAAAGATTGTCTGCAAGCGGCTCAGAATGATCCACTCGTCCAGCGAGATCTTAGCAATAAGGAGATTGAGTGGAGGTACAACACACCATTTGCCCCATGGCAAGGAGGTTTCTACGAACGACTGATCAAAGCCGTGAAAGCAGTGTCTCTTCAAGACGATAGGGAAGTCGCTCGTGCCGCTCGAAGAACTTACGACTATCTTAGTCGAGATTGAGGCAATGCTCAATACGCGCCCACTCACGTATGTAGTAGGCGAGCCCCACAGAGACTCAATATTGAGACCAATAGACTTCCTTCAGAAGGATATCCTCATCTACTATCCTTTTGTGCGAAGAACGGACGATGACGATGACCCGCAATACTTGCCATCGACTGAACAGGTTGCGATTCAGCAGCAAGCGGAGAAGGCGTTGCAGTCGTCCTGCCAATTTACGGAGAAGTTTTGGAAAGCATGGCAGAAAGAATATCTCACGGCTCTGAGAGAGAAACACACTCTCAACGTCGGCAGGAAACGCGGCTGCTCACAATATCCAAAAGAGGGGACAGTAGTGTTGATAAACGATCCCGTTCTACCCCGCCACTCTTGGAAAATGGGCAGAATTCATCAGGTTAAAGCAAATGCTCGAGGATCAATACGTGAAGTCGTTGTACGGTTACCCTCCCAACGGCTAATTCGTCGGCCAGTCAACCTTTTGACCCCTCTGGAACTCGAAGAAGAAGAGCTCACACAAGCCTCAGAACACCAGAAACCTTCCTTGACCTACGAAGGAAGCGAGCTAGAAAGGCACACACCCATTGCCTCTGAAGCGGCTTCAGAGTCAGAAAAGGGTCACTCAGAGTTAGTGCCAGGATACAATTTCAGAAAAGGGCGTCCTATCGATTATTCTAAAGTTTTGCACGGGGATGAAGGATCGGCAGGACAGGACCATCAAGTACCCTTCTCTTCACAATGGTTCTGCAAGTTCTAGCCTTCTGTGCTGTCTTTAGTGAAGCAGCAGCAACAGATGACCGCAATGACTCTCAAATGATGCGAATAATAACGTGTACGGAAAATGGGGTACGACTGCACCTCCCAGAAGCATTCCCTTATGAAATTTGCGCCGAACAATACTGTGTCGAGTTTGCTCACCCGAACGAAAATGAATCAATAAAGTTCGCTTCACAAGTCATACCATGAGCACAGAATTCAGTGGAAGCTTTCTCTGCCGCACTCTATAGAGATCATTGAGAGCACTTCCCCACCAGCACCATTTGCCCATCAATAGACTGTCAGCGCCAATATCTTCAACCCCGAGTGTTGGCCCATCAGCGCAATATTGGCGACGGCTACAATTCTCTACTTCCTGGTAACGGGTTGCTACGTCTTCTTGTACGTACCTGTCACAGTTGGGAGACCACCTAGAGTTCTGGGCAGTATTACCTGGTCGCTGTTCAGAGTTTTAGCGGGCCAGCTGAGGAAGTCAGCAAGCGAACTCGCAGAAGAATATCAGTCCAACGACGCCGATTAATAGAGATTTTGGCAATCGTGGCAGCATTCCAGGCTTAAGAAGGATGCCAAACGGTCAATGTCTTCAGTCACTGGTCAACGATATGGACTGAAGACACCACCTGCGCCCTGCCAAATCCAACTATCCGAAGTCTTCAAGGTCAATGCGTTCAAACGAGAAGCATGCGTTCGACTGTTAGACAATACCACTCTACTCCATGAGATTAGGCTGAGATGGAAATCGCTAGACCTAGTGTTGTGAACCGGAGGCGACTCTCTTCACACGCGACTCAATATACAACGTCACCGACAGTAAAAGATCCCCGCACGTTGGGTCATGTAAAGGAGACAAATGCGGCATAATCAATTCGTCCACCCTCATTCCGGAACTGGAGCAGGGTAACCGCTACCCAGGAAACACAGCATGCGTGGAATCATGTGGAGGACCGGGATGTGATTGCTTCTTCATCAGCTCCGGATGTCTCTTTTACAGAATCTACATGGTACCCATCGATGAGAAAGTCTACGAAATCCTTCACTGCAATAGATGGAGAGAAGCTGCCAACATAGAAATTACGCACTTCGACGGCATTAAGTGGGAGACATCGACAATATCTGAGAAACTGATTCCCAATATCCCCAAGAAATGGAAGTCTCTCACTTTCACGCTAACTTCCCTGTCATTCCACCACTTCGGACTCTAAGCACTCCCTTTATATCCGACTCTATGCGGACATCACTAAGGACGGACAACACCCCACCCCTGCACTACTCCACAAATGACGAACTTGAACTGTTCTGTAGTGGAGGATTGTGCGTGCCTTCCAGCCGAAACGAAGATTAATTGTCAATGCAAGGACCTCCCAATAGGTCCGTGGTTCAATGACATCAAGAATCAGTTACCAGTGAATTTGCCAGTCCATTTCCTTTTACCAGGATGAAAGGGCCAAAGTAAGGGCAGAAGTCATGAGTATGGTCACATCAGAGGTCATCATGAACTTCATGGGCTCAGTGAAATCAGAAGTCATCGTAGAGGAAGCGTTCTGCACAGCTGAAGCCACGGAATTGAGAGGATGTTACAGCTGCCCTCAAAGGGGCCTTCACTGATGTCACTTGCTATTCCTCGCGAAACAATATCCAAGCTGAGGTGCTTTGCAATGACATAGGCTTCACAATACAATACGATTTAGTCCAATTGAAGCCCGAACATTTTTTGGTTGCTCGGTATCCTGTGGGAAACGAGTAAACGCTTTCAAAATAGACGGCATACTCAAGTTTACGGCGTCATTTCAAGGAGAAGGAGAGTCAATAACAAGTACGGAACTTGTGTTTCCAGACTTCATCCATATTGGTATGGTATTCCTTCAATGGTATAAGACGCTGATCGTGGCGGTAGCAGGACTTTTGATAGCCGTAGCTGTTACCTATTTGGTCATTACCACCTTTGGACCGAAGTTACTTGTGCAAGGGTTCCTATACATACCGAAACTGAGCTTAGTCTTTTCCTTAGCTTCATGCGGATATTATTCTTCAGCCTCATGCGGATATTATTCTCCTCTACTCATAATAAACAGCATTAGGCTATCAGCAAGAGACCCCTTAGCATCAATAATAAGTAGAATTCAATAACCGTACAGGGGATACAATATCTACCAATATAGATTTCTTCAGCAATATCTAGCAATACAGGTTTTCTTTCCACACAATATTGAAAAAAAGAGAGAGAGGTCAGAAATCTTTTCAGATCGATCTCGGAATCATCTCGGAAGGAAGTGCGTATCTCGCCGATTTCACTTTCGTCTCCATGTTGTACCAGGAAGCGGTTCCTGCAGAGAGTTTGGAGCAGGATATGACCACATAAGAGATAGAGCAACACATCAAAATGGCGGCAAGCATTGGACACCCAGCTCACACACCATTTGCTCTCCACAACAGGAGTGAAGATCGGTGGCGGAGAACTAATGATGTATGTAAGCCGAATGCTGAGAACCGCTACATATGCGAAGGAGAAGCTTCTCAGTTTCACTCAGCGCTATATGCTGGTCCACTCAATATACAGAATGTCGGCGGATAGCGGCAAGGTCTCAGGGAAAAGACGATCTGAATGGGACGAGGACAAGAAGCGTGATCCCAACAACGTAGCCGCTAAGGTGGAATACCAAATAAGGATGCTTGACCGCTATATTTCCGATATCGAGGGGGAGATCAGTAGAGCCGAGAAAATGATCCTCGCAGAAAAGGTGCAGAATACCGTGAACTTCTCGAATACATTTGATATTGCAATGGATAAGATGGAGAAGAGATTGCTCAGTGCCATTGCCAATCTGACTAAAAAAAGAAGATCAGTCCCAGGCTGAAGCAATCAGCCACGATAAAAAACGAGGTATCAGTGAAGACGAGCCAGGTCCAAGCTCCCGAAAAGTCCAGGTGATCTCTGACGATGAGTATTTGGCCAAATTGATCGAAGAAAACAGAGAAAGCCGAGGAAGCAGGGAAAGCGAAAATGATTCTGTGCAGAGTAAGGAAGCAGAGCCACATCGACGAGAACGGGAGCCAAAACAAGAAGAAGACGAGCGGCAGAAGAAAGAAGAAGAGCGGAAGCAAGAAGAAGAGGAAAAGGAACGACGTAGACGCAAGCAAGAGGAAGAAGATACCGAAGAGAGGAGCAAAAGGCGCGGCGAAGACGTGAAGAGCGACTGAGGCAAGAAAGGGAACACGAAGAAGAACAATATCGTAGACGTCAACAAGAAGAAGAACAATATCGTAGACGTCAGCAGCAGGAAGAAGAACAATATAGACAGAAAGCAGAAAGAGAACGTCGTCAATACATCGAAACTTCAGAGCGAGAACTAGACGAACTGTACAAGGGACGGTTCCTGCTACCACGCGAAGGTAGCGGTATCACATGCGTTTTCTGCAAACGTTATGGACAGCATTATTCCGATTCTTGCCCCTCAATAACGGACGGCAACGAACGTTTCCAATATATTCGTCAGGAAAATCTCTGTCAATATTGCCTGGGAGACGATCACGATTACAATAACTGTAGGGCGGCTGGAAAGCAGTGCTGGTACTGTGAGATTGTACGAAATACACCACTCAATTTTCTGATCTACGACGATGGCGGTCATCACCGGGCACTCTGCAATATCCCTGATTCAAGAGATCGGGTGTCGAGAAGGATCAAGGCAGTAAGGGACCGCCTACATGAAGTGAAATATCAATAAAGCCTGCCCGGAGTGTAGCTACACGCTACCTTTGTACATATGTATATGGTTGGTTAGAGTACTTCATTATTTATTTAACATGTTCTTAGTCAGTTAATCAATTTCCTCATGTTGATCAAGTAATGATTCCAGAAGATGTTTTCAACTTCAGCTAGCGAACAAGGACTGTTTTGGCCAGCTGCACCGAAGGCGACGGTCCTCACTGTATATAAGCAGCGCTGGCTGACTCATGGCGCCCTTCCTCACTAACTCCATCTTCCTCACCAATCGGCTTCAATCGACTGTTCAATACCCGACTCTATTCGTCAGTCAATAAGTGCGTATTTACTGATTCGTCAGATTCGGCTTCAACATCCAATAAATACTGTACTTTCAGAAGGCCTTCATCGCTTCGTCTGCAATACTCGTCTCGGCTCGCAATAATCTACCACTACGGAAGAAGACGATACCCAGTTAGTAGATTGACTAGTTATTCAAATAAATATATATAGAATTATCTGTAATTTACTCAATTCAGCAATATCGCTGCACAATATCTCAATACTTCAATATTAGCAATACCGCGTGGCCAGTTTTGTACTGAAGGGCGAGCAGCACTCCCACAAGGCATACTTAGCGGATTATATATAGTAGGATAGTGTTCAGCTTCTCTCTTCATAAAACCTCGTCATTTTTGGAACTTTCTAGGTTGTAATTTGCTCTGCCGAAGAGTTTGAGGTGGAAGATTTATTGAAAATTGCCTGACGTTTGTCGACACGTCGAGGCGTTTGGCGGTCTAGAGGATGCAACATCTGAACCTTGAGCTATGTTTAGGCCTCTGAGGACGACGATCCTGTCGAAACGTCAGGACATTTTCAATAGTCTTTCACCTACCAACCCCTTCGGCAGAACAGATGACAACTTAAAGTTAAATACGATGTTCTTGGCCAGAACTTCATTCTTCTATACAGTATTTGCAATTAGGAGATTGCTTCGAATTGGCACGTGTTTTCCTGTTTATAATGTGCTTTTATCAAATGTTATCGACAATTTGGATACTGATCCATTCGAGGCGGTTTCACTCCACTACTCACTTATGTGCTGGTGCTAACCGCACCATGTCTAGCGATGCGTACTTCGACGTAGTCTTACAGGCCAACGATGGTTCAATGTAAGTTGCTCATTCGTCGCCTCACAACATTACGTCGTCTTGGTTTTGAGAACAGGGCAGATTCGGTGCAAAATCCTTGAACTGCGTCCATTTTTGCCCGCTCTTTCAGACGTCCTTCATATTTTAAAAGTGCCCCATGCACTGCGTACTTCCGCTAATAGTTGGTACTGTGTATATTTCTATCACTGAGGCTTTGATATGCTGATTTAGTTGCAAGCATGAAGTTAGCCAGCTAGAGAGAACATGAACTCGTAATGAATAGAAATTCTCACTCATTTGAAGCTTGAAATATGTTCAGGGTTTCCAAGGCGATCAATTTGGCGCTCATCATTACCCGCTAACCTTAGGCACCGGACTGCTGATTTCGTCAATAGTTATTGAGAATGGCATCGCCAACACCTAAAGTGGCGCTATAGCCAACAAACGAACGAGAGGAGCACAAAAGCAGTTCATACTGATTATTTGATTAATTTTGATTTGAAGAAACTGCAGCGAGTGCGGTAGCATTTTTCAAAAGGTAGCTGATCTAAGCGTGGTTGATGATGATTGCGAAGACTCTTTCACTAGTACTGGAGGGAAGCAAATCTTCTCACCTACTTCTGTAGAAGATAGGAAGTACAACATGACCAACGAATGACCAGTTTACCATGAGCTGCGCTTGAAACCAGGCTTCACGCAGTTGTTTCGCAGTCCTTCCTAGACTTCGCGACGAAGGCTATCATCGACTGACCGACAACGAAAGTGTTCTCCCTGAGTAATGAGTTTTTCATAGTTGTTTTCATTTCTTCAGGTAAGTCCAACAGATAGAGTATACACTGTAGTTCGCTGCGGACGGTTGGGCGTGTCAGCCAGAATGAGTGTGCACAGCAACAAAGCCGTTCTCTGCCTTCTTGTTGAAGCGCGCATGCGACAAAAAGTGGTAGAAAACGAGTAATACGAAGGATATGATACAGTCATATCACTTGCTCGCTTCAACAACTGGTGGGGAACGACTTTGGCACCGCGCCAAACGCAGCCGCACTGACACAATGAAGGAAAAGAGCATAGACATCTGGGCGTTTTAGGAAGCGAAATGGGTTAGCCTACGAGACGAAGATTGGAGGATATAACTTTCATGACAACAGATATCAATCTAAGCTGAACGGTGAAGAAATCACCATCTCATTCATGACGTGCTCCATGGACCTGGAAGCTGGACCAAAGTACGGCCTTGCCTATTGTCCCAGGAATGACTGGGAACTTCGGTTGCATCCGAACTTCCTGAATAGCCGGACGGGAGGATGCTGCCAGCGCTCAGTAGCCCGTCGCCTCGTGGCTTCTAGGAACATGGGAATGGTCCGTCCCCTTGGAAGAGTGTCATGCCTTCGCTTTTGTTAGTTATTTTTCATTGCCACTCCATAGTTTCTTTGTTAGTTGGAGTTACAGATCAACTATCTGTGTATCGCTGTTCGATCGTTGCTGGTATTGCCATTGTTTTTCTTGCGCAGTTACCCATCATATTTATCTTGATATGTCGGCTGTGCATTCAAGTTAAGTGTTAATGGTAACGTGGAAGTACTCAGCCGTGCGAGCAGTCGTTCCTAGAAAAGACGCTGGGTGTGAGCATAGGTCAGTGGGTTATCACCAAAAGAGTGGCCGTAGTACATCACGTAAGTACTGGCACTAAGTACTAGCAGTACTGGCCTACAGGTCACGGAATGGCAACACCCACCCGGATGGCAGCACCGCAGGCGAGCGAAGAGAAGTGCTCCGAGAGTTCTCTGTGCGTAGCCGAAGTAGAAGTCGATCCACCTCATCGGACACTGATGCTAGCTCAGAGGATTCCGACTACCGGGTAAGTTGCCAGAGCTGATGGAGGAAGGAAGCTGCCCCCGGCTCGACAGTATACAATTCTCACCTCTATGCGAACAGGCAGACAAGTATGCTAGGATAGCGGCATATTTACACAAGAAACTGTTTCATGTGCTCTTTTAATGTTCCAAAGATCTCCCAGAACCCGTGACTTTGGATTCCACTCAATCAAACCCACAATCTGGAGCTATTCAATTTTACTCACGAAGTTTCAGATTCCCATGGAGTTACTCGCTATTACAAAGGCACTACCCATATTTGGAAAGTAAAGCAATAGCTAAGAAATATGATGATTTAAAGATGATACTGACACTTCCATACTCGCAAGATCTTGTCAGTTCTTCTCTTATCCATAGCTTCGATGTGCCAACAGATTGATAAATATCATCATCACAGGTTTGCTGTAGTGGGGAGAACGGCAAACTCTTCTTTTCATTAAATTTTATTGTATGACAACGTTTCGGGCATAAGCCCTTCTTCAGGTCACTCGATCTTAAATCACAGCATTTACCCTTACAATGTTACAGCACTAATAGAGTGAACATAGCAACAACCCACACTGTGTAGAAGGGAGAAGGAGCACAAACTCCGTCAAGCCTCACTACTTAGCAGTATAGACAGAAATAAAAGTGGAAGGATTGGGACTATTTATAAGGGTGCGGGACAAGGGTGATCTAGAATTCGTCACGTATGTCTCCATTGTGCACGTCTTATATTGATATCAATCCCATTGCCACTTTCATCTCCTCCTTGCTGTTGATGGGTGGTTCTTGTTGCTTTATTTCCATTGCCTCCCTGATCTTTCTTTCAACTGGATACCACATTTCTGTGTAGAATGGAGATGCGAAGTTCCGGCGGTCTTTCTTGAGCGTGCCTTAGTGTGCGGTGTCTCGAGAATGGGTTCTCCGGGTAGCTCTGTGGGCTCCGCAAAGCTCTCAAGTGTTCCTCCATTCTCTTGTGTAGTGGCCTTGATGTTTCTCCTATGTAAAACTCGTGACACGAAAGGCACACTACTTTGTACACCACACATTTTTCTTGACACACCTTATGTTCTCCACAAATCACACAGTTAGCTCTTTCACATCGACTCTCATATGGACGCGATGATGTTAAAAGTCGTCGTAAATTG